TTTGCTATTTTCGTATTTTTTTTTACTACCCTCATCCCCCCGTTTTATGTATTTCCTCATGTTTTTCAGTCTATCTAGTCGTTTATCGTGTGTTTTATTTATTCTAGTTTTTTGGTGTTTCTTTTTTTTTCCTATGTTATTGTGTTTTCTTGTCATTGAAGGTGTGTAGGTTCAAAGCTCTGACAGGATGTTTGAAATTCAACAAGTCCAAGAATAAGATTCCTGTCCCGTTTGTGAAAATACACTCTAGAAGGATTCGTCGGGGACGAGTACGAAAAAATGAAAACGAGTAAGAAAAACAAAACTCGATTCTGAATCTGGATGACCTCGTACGAGCCTGTGGCGCATAGGCATGAAGCTAGTAGTTGCTGGTGAATTTTGTTCACCGCGACCCATGAAGGCACCGCGGCCCGCGGGATGGCTAAAGGTTCTGATTACGCCGTGATCCGTGGAGGTTGCGATGCAAATTTTGAGATTTGTATTTCTGGACGGTTTTTCAAACCTTTATTATTTGGGGACTCGTGCCCAACCATAAAAACAACTTTAGACTTTGTTTTTATTAACTTTTTTTACTTTTAAACATTATTTTGCTTTAGCTTTTATTTTGAAGAGTGACACTTCAAGAATCGTCTTGTAATCGATGATTGACATTTGACTTCAATACAATCGTAAGCTTTCATTTTATTTTTATCGATGGATGGATTCTTGTGGTTGAATTGATTTCTTGTATTGATTTTGATATGACTAGCTAATTCATTCGTTTATTATTTTGTTTCTTGCGTTTATCGTGCTATTGTGAATCATTCAATCTATGCAAGTTGAGTTTTACCTAGTATCAGATGATTGAGTACCTTCTAATCTAACTAAAAAACTTTTAAAATCGAAAGAGGAGGAGTTGTTCGACCTTGACTCGTATAGAGTAGGCTTGTTCATAACTGTGTTGCCTATGTATTGTTTGGTTTGATTGATTTTTCGTTTATGTTTATCCGCTTTTTACGAAAAGAAATTGAGGTTAAATCTTTACGTGTAGGTTCATTTTAACCGAACAATGAATTGTTCGATAAAAGTGTTGTTTTTCACAAGTATTTTTTAATTTTTTCAAAAAATATTTAAACTTTAAACTTCTTTACAGCGGTTACTTCTTCTTTCTCTAAACTTTCTGAAACTGATTTGCTTTTAAATCT